GCACCCCTTCTCCATATTACAAAATCCAACGTGCAAGATAGATACAAAACCTGAAGATGTTTAAGCAGGGCAGAATTCCATGGAACGAAGATAAGGCTTTTTGTCCTCTGGAAAAGGGACACAAGTATTGCCCTATAGAAGAACAGTATTCTGCCTAGTCCTTCCTTCAAGAATCCTAGACTGGTAACAGCCAAAAAAAGTAATCAAGCAGAACACAGAAGGCAAGTGTTCTGCACATGGTATATTATACAGCCTGAACTAGAAAAAAACGAATCCACAAACCATGGCTTCTGCCCTGCTAAACAGATTTTATTTGTGCAGCTACTGAGTTCAACATTTCACAGCAATTTGGCCATCAAATACAGGTACTACAGCTGACAGAGACATGGAAACAAGACTTCAGATAAGTGAAGTGCTACCCCACTCAGCAGAATGAACCTGGACAAACAAACCTTTCCACAAGGTAACTACCAAAAAGAACAACCACACTCAAGAAAACGAGAAAAGTCACCTAGTCCTATAGCCTTCAGGTGCAGCAGCAATGCATGTTCCATCATGTTACTTCATCCAGCTGCAGCACTCCCACTTCCCAGGCATGGAAAGCATAAGAACACAGTTAAGGCAGGAGACAGATACTGCCTTATCATTGACACTAGTTTGGGGTGGGGAGGGAAGATGAGAGAATGAATTTAAAATTTCAAGTTGATTTTGAAAGTGGTATGCCAAGCAGTGCTAACAAAAGAGCCACAGTCATGAAAGTGCTAAGTTGTACCAAGAGGACAGATTAACAAAGAGCTACCCCCACCCTGACTGTCAAAATGCTGCCTTAAACAAACAAAAAACAAACAAACAAAAAAATCAAACCTATAGGAGTCACCGAGTTCCTCATCAGCACTTCTTGGCCTTTATCAAGGTGTCATACTCCACTCAAAGCACAGCTCATGTCAATGAACACACCAGAAAAGCAGCAGCACTGTATGTCTCCTGACCTACCAACAAGGCTTTCAGCACTATGCCACCAGCAAGGAGAGAAAAGAAAGGCAAGATGTAGAATCCAGTTTCACCAACCAGTACTGTGTATAGGTATGTAGTGGTGACAGGCAGACTGGTATCTCTTACTTTTCCTGTCACCAGTCTCCCAGAAGCCACAGTCCCCCAGAGAAGGGGAAGAGCCTGAAAAGAAGGTGCAATTTCTTCCACCCTAAACAACTGCTAGAAGCTCTATAATCACACAGCCAAAGAAGACCTAGTCTCAGAACTGATTACAACACCTCCCCTTCATATAGGACATTTTTTACAGCTGACTCCTGTTTCCTCCAGTATCTTCTTCCTCCTCATCTTCCCCCAATCTCCTGGGGCCGACACTTCTTTCTGCTAACTCTGTTCTTTTGCCACTCTGCTTTGCTTTGACAGCTCTTACATTTTTGAGCCTTCTCCAGCTAACTTCTCAGCCACATCCTCTATCTATTCACTTATCTTCAGCCTCTGAATCCATACAGTTTGTGCACAAACACATCACACTCTTAAAAAAAAATAAAACCTCCTATGCAAGCAAACAGTACATCCAGCAATGCTGGTAAGCAAATCAGGTTGCTCGTAATCTTTCTTCACACTCCATCTCATCAACAACATGAGACTGCAAACCATCCAGACTAAGGAATATTGCTGAGATACATTTTCATGACATTTCAAATTCCTACCCAACTGTAAAAACACCACCCCTTAACTCTTTGGTCACTTTATGCTGTGCACGTTCCTACATACCAAGAAGTCAGTCTCTCTCAACAGTCCTGACAGCTTCTTCAAGTGGTTTCACATTTTTTTCATTGCCATACACATTTACACACACCAGAAACTGACTTACTGTACACAAGTCCATGCATGCAAAACAATTACCTGAAAAGCAAGTAGTTTCTTTTGTCATTTCATGATTATATTAATGAAAGTGTGTTACACTTTCAGTCCAAGAAAAGGAGACCCAGTACAGGCGCAGCGTAAGACTAGACTGCAATATAAATGGTTAATGATGTACAATTTTCTTGTTAGTGACCTTCTAATGAAAAGGGCAAAACATTAAAAGCAAGTCACAACAACCTGAAGAGACTAACCAAGCAACTGCAGTTAGCTGCAACTTTTCTCTTGCAATCATTCGCATCTTTGCTTCACTGTATGGTGGCAGTTACTTCATATTTACCAACGTATTCATGTAGCAACACATTTGCTTCAATATCCTTCCAGTCTAACACATTCACAGCCTTAGTCTTAGGGCCCTCAACTTCAGTATCTGCTATCTGCAAGCTATACATTTTATAACACAGAATTAATCTCTATTACTCATAGTCAATAAAAATTCACCTCAAATTTCCCTGCCAACTCTCATTCTACCAATTTACATTCTCCGAGTCAAAGTTTACTGGAAAAGGGAAAACAGAACATTGAAACAATTGTCTGGTACTCACTTAGTTTAACCGATCCATCCATTCCTAAGAGCACATTGTCACTTTTAATGTCTCTGTGGATGACCTGGTTGGCATGTAGGAACTCAAGTGCTTGCAAGCACTGGATGGGAGAAAAAAAAGAAAAAATATATTCAGCATATGGAAACACAATTTGTATATGTGAACACAAATTCAAAAGCAATGCTTACATCCTCAGCCAGTGCTGAGTGCAAAAATGTAACAGGTATTATTTAAAATAACCAGCAGAGGAAGCTCTTGTGCTAAAAAATACTCTCTGGGTCTCATGAAGTCAAAAAAATCATTTAACCATGGATTTTCTCTGTTATCTTAACAAACCCATAAATTAAACTCCTCATCACCAAAGATGCTCTCAAAAATCCCAGATGTTAATTTTGGTACATTCCACAAATTCTACAGAGGAACTATAAAGGATTAAGTGAGAGCTTTTTAGCCTGGAGTCTCACCAAGAGGAATTGGTGAGACTTCATTCTCAACATGCATGCAACTTCTCCTACAGTGAAGGCTGTAAAACATCTTCATTATTAAAGTCACTAATACTGTTTTTGCATTGTTTTTAGATTAAAACTTTTCACCCTCAGTTTCTGTCTAAAAACATAATGAAATTTACTTTACTATTTGAGAATAAAAGGAAAAAAAACTGTAAGATTTTTCTCTTTTAATATAAGCAGAACATCTACCATTTGCAACTTGGCATGGATGTAGTCCCCAGTGAGTTTTTTGCGTCTTCATTTGCTTTACCAAAGTTGCACTGATTTGCAGAATGAAGCGTATCTAACATGCTGGGCAGCAGAGTTTTGATGAAGTACAATAGTTCAGTATTAGACTTTTTCCTCAGAGAAGTTAATTACTGTTACAGTAAATAGTTACTTTTGGTTCTCTGCTTCCAGCTCCAGTTTCTCAGGAAACCATTACCTGTCCATACACATGTACAACTTTGCTTTCCACCCCCTCCCTCTCGGTGAGTCATCAAAAGCAGATGTCATGTTTATGTAGTCAAATGGGAGTTTTAAAAGCCTAAGTTTCTCCTGCACAGCAGATAATACAATTACTTCTCCTCCTGCCATAATAAATCAAGGCTGAGCTGGATGCGGGCACTCTGACTCAGGGCAGAAACCACTGATAAGTTGTGACATCAGCTATTTTTAACTTTTCCATTTGAAATCTTACTGCAGTCTTAAAATCATTCCAACTACAATCTTCTGGAGAATTATTTTTCTGAGAAATCCATACAGAAAGCTTAACTGTCACAGAACTATAGATTTCACACACTATGAAAACTACTAAAATGAGAAAGGGATAGTCTGCATGGTGTTCATCTTTATTTTAGTACATGTTTCTTAAAGTATTCCTGTTTCACCAGATCCACTTTCACACTCTAAGCAAACACAGTTCCCCTTCTTCCTTCTGGAAAACACTCAGAAGCTTTCAGGCTTTTTTCTTTTTTCTTTTAAATATGGTCACATCTCTACTTTATACATTACCTATATACAAGTACTTAGTTTTCTTTTTGGTGCCTTTGGATATTCTTCATTAGTCAAAATTAAAAAATACATTCTTTCCAGCTGCTGAACTCCATTGCTCTTCCTTGAGCTTCAGTCCACATTATTAATATCCTTCTGCTAACATTGTCAGCAGGACTAGGCAACCCAGGTATCACAACCAAAATCTTTATTTGCTCCATCACCTAACATTCCCAAACACCCAGCTCAAAAACTGCCATAGCTCTTTTGTGTAACAACTTGCAAACACTCAATTTTCTGAGTGAAACTCATTTTGTTATTTTCTGCAATTTTAATATACATTTCTGCTTTCAGCATCATTCATTCTTCCTAACTCAATGGCTCCAAGAGCAATTGTTGCAATTAGTCCTAACCTAAGTGCACCATAAAACCTAGGGGAATACAGTGCACCTTCATTCCTCTACCCATCAACTATAATACTCACCTCTCTGCAAACAGCAGCAATCTGTGCTTCATCCATACATGTTTCTGTGACCACATCTGTTAGTGAGCCTCCAGCTAGATACTCCATCACCACAAACAATTCATCTCCTACGAGGTAACTACAAACAGAAAACAAAAAGCATGCCCATTTGCCATCAAGAGACCAAGAACTGAAAAATGACTGATAAGAGCTGATCAATGAAATGATTCATAAGCACTTCAAGACAAACAGTAAAGTAAGTTAATCTCTGGAAGGTAGCCTGAAATGTAAATGCTGACAATAAAAGCTGCGTGCTTCTTCCCACCTAAACAGGCAGGATAACACCCTACATATCTCATGCACAACACAAGCACTGCTTCAGCTGTGCTCTTGTCCATCACTGATCCCCAACTACATGTAGCACTGCATTCATGACAGAAGAAGCTTTCTTACTGAATCATCAAGACCATTCCCTATAGCAGATGAGGGGGTTTTGGGTTTTTTGTTTTGTTTTGTTTTTGGGTTTTTTTGGGGGTTTTTTTTTGGTTTTTTTTAAGATGACACTTGATGATACAGCCTCATTTGCTTATAAGACCCTTAGGGTACAGGAAGTCCAAGTCTGTGTAAGTATATCAAGTTATAACCTTTTGAAACCCCTGGGGATGAAGGAATCAGCCAGCTGTCTGCATTTACCTGTCCAGGAAGTTGACTATGTTGGGGTTCTTTAGCTCCTTCATTACCAAGATCTCATTAATAATCAACTCTTTCTTGGGCTGCTTCTGCAGGTTTATCTGTTTAATAGCAACCTGAATAGGACAAAATAAAACAGCAATCACTCAAACCTGAGTAACAAAACCTTTCAGTCATTCTTAATACAGTGAGAAGTTAGAATAAATTCTGTAACAGGATTAAAGGAGTTTAGCACAGCTTGCAGCTGGTAGGTTAGTTATTCATTAGCATACAACTTAAAAGAATGCAACTTGACGAGCATAAAACTTGTCCCTGTAGCCAACATCATCCTCTTGCAACTGAAAAGATCCACAAACAATAACAAAGGCCAGAACAGACAGCAAAGGATTCAGGAGATAAAAAGATACTCATCCAATTTCATATCAACAGGCCTAAAGCAGAAGAGAATCATATAGCAACTAAGAGAGAAAGTATAAACCTTCCAATGCAAGGCAAGGCAATTCATCTTTCTATACTCTGACCAAATTAGTATTTGGGTATAAGGAATGCTGGGAGATAAAAGGAATTCCTCTCAAAACAATTAAGCCAGTGAACTATCCCAGAGAGAAAAGGCAAGATAAAAACCCATCTTGTCCAGGAAATAAGCTAACCAGGACAACTATTCCAGACTTCAAAATGGAGAATAATTGTCCCAGTTATGTTAGTTACAACACTTTGAGGAGGCAGTTCGGAGTTTTACAAGATAACCTACCCATGAGTCCAAAACAAAGCACAAGAACCAATATAATCTTGTAGAAACGATTATTATCATCCTGCTTAGGGAATTAAAAGAAGAGAACTTGTGGCACAGAATCACAAAATAACTAAGACTGGAAGGGACGTCTGGAGGTCATCAGGTCCAATCCCTTGCTTAAAGCACAGCCAGCATGGCACAGGCTGCTGAGGGTCTTGTGCAACTGAGTTTTCAATAGAGACCTCAATGAGGAGATATTCCACAACCTCTCTGGGCTTCTGTCCCATGTTTGATCATCCTGACTGTGAGGGAAAAAATTTCTAATATTTAACCAGAATTTCCCTTATGGCAATTTTTGTCTGTTACCTCTTCTCCTGTCATTGCATAGCTCTAAGAGGAGTCTAGCTCCATATTCTCTACACCTTCTTCCCATTAGAGCATTGAAAACAGCAATAAAATCCTCCTTTGGCCTTCTGTATTGGGTTTTTGCGACAAGGTTTTGGTAGCGGGGGGGCTACAGGGGTGGCTTCTGTGAGAAGCTGCTAGATGCTTCCCCTATGTCCGACAGAGCCAATGCCAGCTGGCTCCAAGAGGGACCAGCCGCTGGCCAAGGCTGAGGCGATCCAAGAC